TACTCGTAGCGCCATCTGTTGGACATAAAAGCCTTAACCTAGATTATATATTTTAATTTATATGAATGTTTAACGGAATAATATACAGCCTATGTCCACCCTGAGGTTCCATTCTAAATATTGGTGAAAGAATTTTTGAAATCGGATGAGTAGTTTCGGAGATTACCTGCTGCAAACAAACTTACATACATACGTACATACATACTTAAAACATTACCTCTTTATAATATTAGTATATATTAGCTATATTATAGCCCAAATAAAACTCCATTGCATGATTATTACTGTGTGTCAGGCTTGGTTTTATATATAATTAGCTATTATCTGATTCTTAAAAATAAATCGTAAGTATGATTTTAAATTAAAAATGTGTCAATTTTTGAACAAGTTAATAATGAACAAATGTAAATATGTATACTGTGCAAGTATGTGGAGCCTGAAATCTGTTGAATCAATCAGTAATGGCAATTGTAAGGCTGAATTGTCAATTTCCACAGAAAAAAAAAAAGATTTTTAGAGCAATAATTAACTACATATTAATTGAAAAAGTGGTTTTAGTTTGTCCAACTTAGTTTGAGGTAAACGGTTGGGGCTAAAATTACTGTTCAGGTATCAAATTAAAGCTTGTGTTGTAAATAATGCTGCCAAAGAAAGATTTGAGAAAGGTGCAATGGTTCAGGTGTTGTGGTAGCAAAAATGCAATGTTAAATCTACGGGAAGGCAAGTGACAAGCATGTTGGCACTTACATGCCATCTACAATTTAGTTTTTCTTAACCATTAACCTGTTGATCACCACTATTGAATTCCTGTTTTGTTTGCTAATTATGTATTAAGACATTTTGCATTATTTTTTTCAATAAATTTGTTTTGTCAATATTGACACAATGCTATCTACTAACTTTTAGTGTTAGTTTTTTTTTATTTTACTATTATTTCATGATGAGAACAAAATGTGATTCTAACCAACTGATTTGTTACTTAATACTGATTGAAGGCTTTCTTGATAAATTTTCCAACTGAAAAAAGAATAAACTTGAACATAGGACCGTTGGTAGGTTAAGAGTTTTATAACAGCCAATGAGATTGCCATGAGGCAGGCTGACACTACCCTCATCACTAATCCAAAACTCTGCCAGTTGAAGTTGGTAGGCCTTAAAAAATGCTCAATTGACTTTCTGGGACCCAGATACAAAATTGAAAGAAGCCATTGAGAGAGATGACTATTGGGAGAAGCCCCATTGTACCAGAGAATGAATAGATGTGAATCACCTGCAAATAGTTGATATCCACTTATTCTCCAACTAGTAGAAGAGTGTTGGTTGATTGTATATTCAGAAACGGTAGAACTAAAACTTTATTCATTACTGTGCTTGTAAATAAATTGCTTTAAACACATTTTTAATGTTTTTCTGTTAATTGAAAATGGTTACATAAGTGTCTAGCAATCATCTAGGTCCCCTTGGAGTGGAGCATAAATTTATATGAAAGTTTGCATTATGCAGTACCTGCTGATATGCCGCTCCCATGTAAAACAAGACCCTATTATAATAAATATTAATATATTTTTATCTATAAGTCATAAATGCTTACTCTATTTATTTTTCTAGATACAAAAACAGAAAGAACTAAAACAATATCACTCTTTGATGATGAGAGTGAAGAGAAATTATTTTCAGATCCTTCTCCAGTATCTGCATCACCAGAAAAAAGTGATTTATTTAAAGAAAAGGTATTAAAACAAGTTTTATTTACAGTTTCTCCAATATAAATTATATTTAAATTTGGGAAATTATAAATATTGTTTTTTGTGTGTTTTAAATTAGTTTATTTAACAATATACAATGAATGAATGCTTATTAGATTAATTATTTCATTAATAAATTTTCTTGTACAGGAAATATTTGACAAGCCGCAAATTTTAGAAAAACAAATATCTGTGGAAGAGGAACCTGTAGAGAAACCAAAACAAGAAAAAATAAAAGCAAATAGTTTATTTTTAGATGATTCTGAAGATGATCTTTTTGGCATTACAGAAAAAGAAAAGTATTGTATTATACTTTACATTAATTAATCTATATTATGCAGTAACATCTAATCAAATAAACTTTTTATTTGTAAAATATTTTATAAATTTGAAAAAAATCCAGTTTTTGAAAGACCATTTTAGTACTTGCATAATTTTTATTATAAAGTTTTATTCTGTTAATATTTGACATGAATTTGTTCATCTTTTTATATATAAAAAGTGTAAACTTTTACAATGCAAAAATAACATTTTTTATCTGATATGAATAGATTTAATTAGATTAATAAATGTAACTTCCAATTTTATTAAAGAACTATTTTATCAATAACTTCAAATTCATTAATAATTAATAAGAATTTGAAAAGGTTCATTTTCAGCATTATCCTTTATATTACCAGAATAAATTGTTTGTAAATGCTTCAGAGTCAATTTAAAAAGTCTATACATAACTAAAAAAAGTGAAATAATAATTGTTTTTTTCTTAGGATTATTTTAATTTCCTGTGAAGATAATATATTCATATTGCATATGTAGTATACAAGGGTCATCCAGGAAGAAACAACCATTTGACTTTAATAAATTAAAGAAATATATCTATGTATGTATATCTCTTTAATCCGATATTAAGTTTGGTAGACTATCATTACAGCTGTAATGATAGTCTACCGAACTTAATGTCGGATTAAAGAGACATACATACATACATACATACATAGATCATAATAACAGCTACCAAAAGTGATATTTTGAAAGAAACATACTTTATTAACAAAAAATTGTCACTTACAAAATTGAAGCTTACACAATTGAAGCTTTATTTCTCTACATAATCACTATCATTATTTAAGCATTTGTCATATCTGTCCATGAGCTTTAGAATTCCCATGTTGTTGTCAGCTGCCACCAGTCCATTAAGCCAGTTGTTCACTTCATTCTTTACCTCATCATCACTTCAAAAATGTTTCCCACCCAGGAACTCTTTGAGCTTCATGAAAAGGTGAAAATCACAAGGAGCAAGGTTCTGACTGTAGGGTGGATGATCAAAAATTTTCCATCCAAATCTATCCAACAAGCCTGTAGTTTCAGCAGAAGTGTGAGGGCAGGCATTGTCATGAAGAAGCACAATCTACCGTGAGAAAGCGTTCCACACCTACGATTTTGGATTGCTCGCTGTAGTTTTCTTAGGGTATACAATAATGATCTGCATTGATTGTAGTGCTTTTTGGCATGAAATCCACCAAAAGAACACCCTTATGATCACAAAAAACTGTTGCCATGAGTTTTCATGCTAACAGAGTTTGTTTGAATTTTTGCGGTTTTTTCAATGATGATGGATGATGGCACTCGAGTGATTGGCGCTTGGTCTCTGGGATGAAGTGATACACCCATGTCTCATCACCAGTAACAATATGATCAAGAAAGGCATTTCCATCTGCGTGATAGTGTGTCAAAAATGTCAGTGTGACACCCATTCTCTGTGTTCTGTGCCGGTCACTCGGTTGCCAAGGAACCCATTGTGCACAAATTTTGCTATAGCCAAGATGTTTGGACACAATTTCACCAAACAAAGAGTGAGAAATGTTTTGGAAAGAAATGTGAAACTCGTCCAGGGTTACACATCTGTCTTGCACGATTTTTTTCTTCACTTGGTTCTTCAAATCATCTGTAGTGAGTGATGGACGTCCGGGTTGAGTTTCATCATGCACATTTGTTCATCCATTGTTGAACATTTCACACCATTTCTCACATTTCTTTTGTTCATTACTGTATTACCATACACTTCTTTTAGTTGACGGTAAACACTTCTGCAGGTTTCAACTTCTGAGCATTCAAAAATCGAATAACACCTCTAACCTCACAGTTGGTGGGGCTTTGTATCACACAGTTCATTGTTAACAATCACAGAATGAACAATAACTTGTTTCAACTAGCACTCGCACAACACAGAAAAGATGTCGAAGAAACTGTTTGACTTTGGATAGAAGCCTGATATCAATCTGCTCAGCGGGAATGCTCAATAGGTTGTTACTTCCTGGATTACCTGTGTACATTTTTGATAGATATTGGTGAAAAATCAGATTAGTATTTAAGATTATATTAATTAAAAAGTTAATTAATATTTTTATTAATACTTTTCAATAAATATTTTATTTTTGTCATTTGTCATTGCATAACTAATTTATATTTTTAACTTATTTTAATAGAAAAACATCTCCATTTGAATCACTTGATTCAGAAAATACAGCAACAAAATCAATTTTTACAAATCCATCTGTTCCAAAAAAGGTAAGATGATTCATAAATAATATTGCACTTTGTAATGGAATACCATTTAATTTGATTTATAAAAATATATACAAATGTATAATATTGTTTAGCAAGATACACTAATGGAGATTATCTAAATTTGTCAAGCAAGATTTATAACAGTTTATTATGGAATTGAAAATAGCAAAGTAGAATATTAACATATCTCAAAATATTGAAGAATAAGTTTTAAGAGAATTATTTGTGGCTGGAAAATTCCCAAAATTGTTTTGTGTGATTCATCAATATTCATTTGATAATCTTTAACTTTTTTTTTTGTATTGAAAATATTTTTCTTTTTTTAACATTTTAAAGAGGTGGAAAGAAAGAGGAACCACATTCTGGTATTAATGAAGAGCCACCTATACCTTAAGAAGAACAAAATGGTAAAACCGTACAGAAGATGGAACATACAAAAATTAATAAAAGACACCAATGCTCAGAAGGAATTCAGGCAAACAGTAATACATGAGTTGACAAATTTACATAAGGTAACAAACAATGACATAGATTCGAAATGGGATAATATCAAAACAGGAATCATGAAAGCTGCAGATAAATGTATTTGTAAAGAAAGCAGAATAGTTTACAAACCATGGATTACAGCAGAAATACTGGAAATGGTGGAACAGAGAACGCTTTACAAAATAATGCACAACCAGGAAGATACAGGAATTTAATTAATAGAGAAATGAAAAAAGCAAAGGAAGAATGGATTAACATAGCATGTAAGAAATAGATGAGAATATGATAAAAAGGAAATATGGAAAAGCTATACAAGCAGGTGAAGATAGTTTGGTAAGGTAAGGAAATATACAGGTACAATCATGAATAAACAGAGGAATGTGAGATTCGGAATTTCTACCGATTATTTTGTCAACTATTTGTCGATTAATTGTCCCGTATTTGCTTAAAATCTAATTAAATTTTCCTTTAACTTAAAGTGAAACCTAACGGGGAAAAAAAACTCTTTGTTTATGTTCGACATAAACATCCGTTCAATTCGAAACTAATCCCGCATTCCAACTCCAAACTTGATAGTTAGCATGGTCCCGGGAACAACTCTGACCCATCTGCTTACCTTTTACCTCACAACAATCAATCACGTGACCATTCTCCCACGCCAAACTTATAAAAACCCCTTCCTTCCCCTTCTCGGGGGAGTCGTTCCAGAGCAGGTGCCAGGAGCCGATAACTTTAAAAATAGTGTCCTTTTTAACCAGTGAACTTTCCTAAATCAACGATTCAAATATTTAACCAGTGAACTCTCCTAATTAGTGAACTTTCCTAACCAGTGAATTTTCCTAATTCAAAGAGTGGATAATTTTCCTCAGTGGATAACAGATCAAGAGGTATGGAACCAATTATTGTAAGCTCTCTCTCGGTCTCTCCGCATTTTAGGGACGCAAACTAGACGTTGTATTACCCGAAACTTGTTTTAATAAATTGTTAATTTTTCTTATGTTACATCTGGCCTCCTCGTTTACTCATATATCGCCTGTCGTCTCACCGACGCACTCCTCCCTCCGCCACTCGACCCGAAACATTAAAGCCCGTTACTGCGGGAAAAGGACTCTTTCCACCCATCCTGACCGTGAAAGGGTTTAACAACCTGTTGCCGGATCGGGAGACTACCCCCCCCCCTTCCGGTGGTTTCACAGAAATATACTAATCGAGAAAAAACAGATTGCACCACAATGGAAGGAATACATTAAAGAACTTTATAGAGGGGTCAAGTTGGACAAGACACTGATTGAAGAGGAGAAACTGGTTGATGCAAACGATTTCAGACCATCAATTAAAATGTGAATTTGATAAGACACTGGAGGGAATGAAAAAGGGCAAGGCATCTGGTGTAGACCAGATACTCACAGAACTTATAATGGCCCTAGGAGAAAACATTAAAAACGACCTGTATAGACTCATCAACAAAATGTATATAACTGGCTTAGTGCCACAAGATTTCAAAAAGAGCATAATGGTTCCAATTCCATAGAATAAAGGAGCACAGAAGTGTAAAAATGTGAGGATCATAAGTGTGAGGACACTAAGTTTAGTCTCATACACATTCAAAATTTTGTGCAGAATTGAAAGATAGAAAGAAAAGTATAGAAGAAAACTTATTGGAAGACCAATTTGGTTTCAGACAAAACAAAGGTACACAAGAAGCTATACTAAGCCTGAGGATGCTCATCGAACAGCTTATTTGGGTAAAAAGGCAGGCATCATAGCGTTTATAGACATAGAAAAGGCCTTTGTGGACTGGAACATAATGTTCAGATCACTGAGGAACCTGGAGGTAGACTAAAAGGATAGGAGAATACTATACCAGCTATACAAGAATCAAACTGTGGTTATAGGAAGAGAAGAAGCAGCCAATATAATGAAAGGAGTAAGACTGGGCTTTGGACTAACACCACTATTGTTCAATGTCTACATAGAAGAGGCAATGAAAGAATTCTATGCTACTAATACAAAAGGTATAAAAGTGAACAGAAAGTTGTACAGCACAATAAGATTTGCTGATGACATCACAATGATATCTGTAGGCCATCTACATCTTCCACTATCTATTGAAAATTTAAATAAACAATTTAAAAGATGGTGTGGGATGAGAATAAATAGAAAAAAACAAAGATAATGAGATGTTCAAAAGAAAAGGAATAAGGAGGAATGAATGTCTATTGGATGGTGAAAAAATAGTAGTCAATGAGTTCATGTACCTAGGAAGCATAATCACCTCAGACAGAAATAGTGGAAGAGATGTTACAGCGAGAATAGCCTAAGCAAAACAGGCATTATATAGAAAACGATAGATGTTAACATTGAAAAATATATCAATCAATGTTAGAAAGCAATTCATTAAGAGTTTCCATCTGGAGCATAGCATTGTATGGCTCAGAGATATGGGCACTCTGAACAGCAGAGAAAAGAAAACTGGAGGCCTTTGAGATGTGATGTTGGCAAAGAATGATGCAAGTGTTGTGAATGGAGAGAATGAAGAATGAGGAATGAGGATGTTTTAAAAGAGGCAACAGAGAAGAGACAGATTTTGAGAATGATAGAGAAAAGGAGAAATGACATGATTGGCCATCTAATTTGACACTTGGAATGGATGAATGTTTTATTGGAAGGAAAGATAGAGGGCAAAAGGGGATGTGGAAGACTCAGAGTGGAATATCGCGATGAGTTATTATGAAAATGGCCTTACCAAAAGACAAAACAGCTAGCTAAGCAAAGAAGCTATAATACTGCACTTATCAATGTTTGCCCACCAACCATTGGTTGAGGAGAGAGAGAATCTTTAACTGAGCTATGTGCAGTAATGCAGAATTCATGCAAAGTGTAAGGTTATGTTACAATCCTGGAGTTATTTCTACCAATTCTAACTCTTTTCACTTCTAAAATTCTAAGTAGTTTAGTTACTATACTTCCTGTATTCTGTGTCCTGATGTTGTTTTTCTGCTGCTGCTTTTGCTGCCAGCAATACTCATTTATGAGATAGTTGTATTTGCTGTGTATTTGTTTGTGTGCACACTAGCAAATACAACTGTCATATCATATGTATAATAATGTATATATTATATGAGTGAAACAAATATTCTACTGTAACAATATCAGGAATCAACTTTTTTTAATGTGATTTAATCATTTTTTGGTACAACTGGTCCCATCTGAATCAAAACAGAATTTGTTCAGATTCTGATGATAGGACCAGTTGTCCCAAAAAAGTTTAAATCAATTTAAAAAGTTCTTCATTAAAAAGCTTCATTAACATGTCAAAGCCCTATTGTAATTTTAAAAAGTATTTAGCATGTTTTGGCATTTTTATCCCACAGATTTTTTTTATCAGGTTTGTTTATAGTTATCCAATTTTAGCTCTTTATTTTGTGATTTGTTGAAATTAACTTTTTCTATAAAGCCTGAAGAAGTAGAAAAACCAAAACCTGAAAAAGAGGAAAAATCTGCCAGAAAACCAAGTCTATTTTCTTTCCTTGATGAAGATGATGAGGATGATGATTTATTTTCATTACCTACAAATGACAAAAAAAGTAAAACTGTGTCAAATACAGTGGTAAATAAATATTTTCCATCTTGATATTAACAATTAAAACAACATTACTGAAAAAATTCATTTTATATATATTTATTATATAAATTTTTATCAGAATAAACCAAGAAGTGGAAGTTCTCTTTTTGAAGATGATAGTCTGTTTGGGAAAGAAAGCAGTGATAGTCCAGAAGTTGATTTATTTGCTGTCACACCAAAATCTAATGTTAATGTAAAAAAAGAGGTCTCTGATTACATTAAGTAATAGCTAAGATTATTGTATGATAAATTAATAACCGATTCTTTTATAAAATTTCTAGATTCTTGATTCCCAGAGGAAACTCTCAGATGCAGCAAGCAGTCCAAGTAATCCCCTTCCAAAAATTCCTGTTGGTGGAGTATCTTTGTTCAGTGGGGTTGATTTATTTGGAAAGGATGGAATTAAACCTAGTTCTCCAGAAAAAGAACCCAAGAAGATTTCTCCAACAAAAGAAATAAAAACAACTCCAGAGAAGGAAATGAACTTAGATTTTGCAGATAAAGAAATCAAACTAGGTAACATTTCAAGAAAACTTACTTAACAATTGCTAAATTGTTTTCATGAAATCAAAATTGAATTTTCTTTGTGATGATAAATTATAGGATAAGAATTTACATAAAAATTTATATTAAATCTGTAAATTATGCTTGATAATTTATTTTGATCATATACAAGTATACCATATCAAATTTTTAAGTATTGAAACTGTATAAATTATTCCATCAAGTATTATTAAGATAATTATCAGTTAATATTTTAATGTATTACAATAATGAATAAAAATCAATTAAAGAATTATTAATAAAATAATTCTTTTTAATAATTATAATATACAAAGTTTTAAGAATTCATTACTTTAAATATTTTCATATCACTTATATTAATTCATTATGTCACTTTATTTTGTAACGTAGAGGAAAAATCAGAAGAAAACAAAAAATCTCCAATAATTTCAAAGGTAACAAACATTATTTTTGATTTTAAGAGTATTGAAAATGTATTTCATATTTATCTTTTTTTATTTTTTTATAAACAGAAAGATGAAACTAAAATTAAACAAGAACAAATATTAAGCTTTGATCAGCCAGTCAATACAAGTAATGTGCTTAGTTGTGTTGGAAAGGTAATTTTTTATGAATAGAAGGGAACTACTTGTTTTAATTTTTTTGTTTAAAATGGTTAATTCAATGCTAATTTTAGAATCGAGCTAAAATTCAAACACGAAGAAGACCACCTAGTCGAAAAAATCGTCAGACAACACCTAGCTCTTCAATTGATATTCCAGACAGTGATCCAGTAGTTGCTCAAACTGAAGTGGATAATGTGCCTTTATTTAGGAAGGAAGAAAAAACTGAACCTGTAGTAATAAAAAAAGATGATGATCTATTTTCATCTTTAGATGAACATAAGGAAGTTAATCTAGATATAAGATCTCCTTCTACTGAAGAGGATGATATATTTCCAATGTCAGATGGATCACCTCATAAAACACTTCCTTCTAAAGAAAGCAAGATATCTTTTACTGATAATTTATTTTTAGATTTGAAAGAAGAAAAAACTAATAATTTAGTGGATGATATATTTGGTGACGATATTTTTGCTTCTAAACCAAAACCTGTAAAGAATCAGCAAATATTCTCTTTGTCTCCAGAAGATGATATATTTGCTGATTCTTCTCTATCAAAAGATACTAACAGCTTATTCAGTTCTTCCTCCAGTAAAATCCAGAAGAGTAAGAAAGAAGACAGTCTTTTCTCTTCAGATTCATTGGGTATGTAAACATTATATTTGAGTATAATAAACATTACTAAAACCAGTTAAAAATACTTAATATTTGGCCTTTTTTAGTATACTTTTTTTTTAATTGCACTTGAGCACTTAGTTGTTAGTATTGAATAGAGTATTTATGAGGGTAGTCCGATATTAAAGGTACAGGTCAAAATTACAATAAAATTTATAAATAAAGAAAATATTTAATACATTCCTCAAAAACTGCATACTTTTGTATATTTCTCAACATAATTGCCTTAAATGTTGGGACATTTATCCCAACGTGACACTAGTTTGAACATCCCTTCACAGTAATGTTGCTTGTCAGGTTGCTTGAAGTAGTCCAGAATGGTGTCTTCCAATTCCTCCTGATCTGCAAAGCATTTTCCTGTCAAAAATTTCTTTAAAGGTCCAAATAAATGAAAATCTGATGGGGGGCTAAATTTGGACTATATGAAGGATGTTGCAGGACCTCCCAATTCTGCTGTGCCAACCACAGTTTGGTTTGATTTGATGTGTGGAGTATATTTAAGTATATAAATTAGTACAAATTTAAGACTTCTGTTAACAGAAAATATGATTGCTTCACTTAGTTTCTTATACTACTATAAACATGTAAAAACTTGCTCTGGGCTTGATTAATTTAGAAACATCTTGAAAGAGTTCTTAATTTGTGTTTTAAAAATTGTTTTTAATATAATACTGATTCAAGAGAAATCAGCTCATTACTTTTAACTAACAAATAAATCATAACTTTAAAATTTTAGCATACTAAATAGTCTTTAAGTTTATAAGATAGCTCTTAAAATCTTTATGTAAAATAGTGATTTCCATCTATCTATATGTAATGTTTGATTTCTATTGTCTAATATTTTCTTCTTTAGATTTGTTTTATATGCCCAACTTAATTTTAATTCTTAATTATTTTTCAGTCAACAATTAACTTTATAAAGTTAGCATCATTTTAACTTTTAAATTATTAAATTTTTACTTACAGATGATGACATCTTTTCAATACCTGTAAATAAAGCACCTGCACCTTCTACTAAAAAGCCATCTACAGTTAAGAAAGTTAAGATAGAATCTGACATATTTGAAGATCCACTTTTAAGTTTTGGAAATTCTGAAGACAAAGAATGAAAAATAAATAAAATTACATTCCCAAAAGTACAAATTTAATATATTAAAAATAAGACAAAATATATATAGTTTTCCAGTTTAATATTTGTAAATTATTAAAAATAATTGTATATAAATGTGTAAAAATTATATTTCACTAAATTGTATATTCAAAAATAAAAATAAGTTAAAACATTTACACTTACTTTTTTTAATAACAAATCATTGTAAAGTATTGCATATATAAATGTGCATTATAGCTTGAAAAGTTTGTGATTCAAGGCTGCTGTTTACAACTTTTTATTCCATAAGTTCCATATTGCTCTTTATTTTTTAAAAAAATATTTTTTGGGTTGTAATAAACTTAATGTTTAAATGGGAAAAGCATTACCAGATAAGTTACTCTCCAAAAATGTTTTTTAATGTATCGTTCTCTTTAGGATGTTAAAAGTATCGAAGGAAATGCAATAATTTATATTAAAATTGTTATCTTTAAACTTTAATTTTATTGAAAAAATAAATATAAATCAGTGTTGGGGCTGATATAGGACTAACATTTATCTTCTTCCCTTCTATTAAAAAGTTAGAAAATATCATTATTATTGTTTTTAAATGATAATACAGGAGCAATTTTTTCAAAATAAAACATATGTACTGTACAGTAGAGCGTCGATTATCCGAATCAATTGGGGACGGGGTGAAATCGATGTTTCGGATAACCGATTGTGTACGAAAAAATATTACCCTATAGCTATTTTGAAATTTTTCTCCGTTGCGTGTCGCTTTGCGTTGAATTTTTGTCGATGTTAAGCCTAACCAGAGTCGGTAGATTAACTGGTCTTTCGACTTCCTATCTTCGCTCCTTGCTAAAATCAACTAGAGACAAATGTTACCACCAGGGGCACTGCAAGAGTGCTAGATCGAATCGCTGTGAGGTCGAATGTTTATTGAAAGATATATAACCTTCGAGTTCGATTTCATAATTTTTTATATGCATTTTATTGTAAGAATGAAAAAGCTTTTATTTAAACCCAAAACCAGGTTTATGGATAAATAAATGACACTTAATAAAACATTAAACCCCTTCCATCGCTGAGAAATGTTTGTTTAATTAAATACGTTCGAACTCATTTACACCCGATGATGGTTTATTCCATGAGGCTGAAAATGTTAGTGTTTTATTAAGTAACTAGCTTACCCGTCGCGCATTGCTGCGATCTCAGAAGAAAGGAAATTCAAGCAAACTCGTTATGATAAAATTCAATTTACATTTTATCATTTTCATTGAAACTTAACATTATTATTATTCATTTTCATCGGGAAAACATTTCAAAGTGTCGTTTCAATTTTATTTATTTATTGAAGTGCTTTGTGGATACACGATATTTTTTGTTTTTCCGTCTGGTGCGTACACGAATAAATCAAAAGGTTTTCCGATGCGTGAGTTGGCCACATACAGTTGTCCAAGCGAGAAGCACGGATTCTTTAAATTTAGCCCACATGCAGAGATTGTTAAAAGTGCGATATTCCCCATTTTTATATATATATTTTTTAATATTTCATAATTTTAATTATTTAATTGCTCCTTCTTCTCTTCCTTGGCACGTTGTGAAATTTCTAATAGTTAGATAATAAACCGTTTTATTGTAATTTGTCTTTTTAAATTATTTTGAGTTGATATTAAAATTTGGAAAAGGGGGATCTCTAGATCGGTAAAATAGGCGAATTTCCTTCTACAACTTCGGTTGTTGTTCATGATACAGTTAAGGCTTTAACAAAGTTCGAGCGATTACGTAATTAGCAAAAAAAAAGTCGAAATAAAGTGATTAAACAAAAATTATAACAAATATCGTAAATAATAAATGCATATACAGTATACAGATATTTTTTGGAGAAGAGAAATGGTCTTCACAATTTGAAATCGATCGAACACACTGCTCGAATGCTCGTGTAAACGCGCGCCATCTATCGTAGGGTAAATGCCAGAAACCTTCGCGGGAGTGTATTAAAAAAAAAACTTCCCAAAGCTTCATGGCAATCGTACTATGCCACAAATCTTCGCTGGAGTATATTAAACAACTTCCCAAAGTTTCACGGCAATCGGATAAACGGTGGGGTAATGCATGAAGGACACAGACACACATACATTCATTTTTATATACAGTACTAGCTTACCCGTCGCGCATTGCTGCGATCTCAGAAGAAAGGAAATTCAAGCAAACTCGTTATGATAAAATTAAATTTACATTTTATCATTTTTATTGAAACTTATTATTATTATTATTCATTTTCATCGGGAAACATTTCAAAGTGTCGTTTGAATTCTATTTATTTATTGGAGTGTTTGTGGATACACGATATTTTTTTGTTTTTCCGTCTGGTGAGTACACGAATAAATCGGAAGGTTTTCCGACGCGTGAGCCGGCCACATACAGTTGTCCATGCGAGAAGCGCGGATTCTCCAAATTTAGCCCACATGCAGAGATTGTTAAAAGTGCGATATTCCCCATTTTTATATATATATTTTTTAATATTTCATAATTTTAATTATTTAATTGCTCCTTCTTCTCTTCCTTGGCACGTTGTGAAATTTCTAATAGTTAGATAATAAACCGTTTTATTGTAATTTGTCTTTTTAAATTATTTTGAGTCGATATTAAAATTTGGAAAAGGGGGATTCCTAGATCGGTAAAATACGCGAATTTCTTCCTACAACTTCGGTTGTTGTTCGGGGTACAGTTAAGGTTTTAACGAAGTTCGAGCGAATACATAATTAGCAAAAAAAAGTTGAAATAAAGTGATTAAACAAAAATTATTACAAATATCGTAAATAACAGTTCACAAATGCATATATAGAGATATTTTTTGAAGGGGGGAAATGGTCTTCACAATTTGAAATCGATCGAACACACTGTGCGCGAATGCTCGTGTAAACGCGCGCCATCTATCGTAGGATAAATGTACTTCGCGGGAGTGTATTAAAAAATTAAAAAAACTTTCCAAAGTTTTATGGCAATCGTACTATGCCACAAACCTGCGCGAGAGTATATTAAACAACTTTCCAAAGTTTCATGGCAATCGGATAAACGGTGTGGTAATGCATGAAGGACATAAGACAGACACACAGATACACAGACATACATTCATTTTTATATATATAGATATAGATTATAAGTGTCATTTATTTATCCATAAACCTAGTTTTGGGTTTAAATAAAAGCTTTTTCGTTCTTATAATAAAATGCATATAAAAAGATTATGAAATCGAACTCGAAGGTTATATATCTTTCAATAAAAAGAAAACATTCGATCTAGTGCTCTTGAAATGATTGCAATGCTCCTGGTGGTAACAATTGTGTCTAGTTGATTTTAGCAACGACCGAAGATAGGTAGTCGAAAAACCAATTAATCTACCGAATCTGGTCATAGTAACTAAGGCGCTAGAAATCTAGCGCCTTAATAGTAACACGAGTGAGTTCGATGACGTCAGTTCGAGAGTAAGGGCACTGGTCGTTACGCAGGGAATAAAGCCTTCCAGGAGGTCTTTTAAGGAAATTGGCCTCTATTCAGGCGTTGCAGACGTAGTGAAATCCCGGAAAATTCCACGTGGCCAGCCGTCCGGGCGAGGCGCGAATCCACGACCGAACACCCAGTGTTCAGGGAACGGAACCGCTCAGCCACTGGTGGGTCCGTTCTTGGGTTTCTCAGAGTCATAGACTTATGCCGTAAATGTTCAGCCATCCGGCCGTTATGTCTGAGACGGACTCAGTCTACCGCTCTGGGAAACACAGACAGTGAAAAAATGCTAGGCGTTTTTCGAGGGACGGTATGTCCTGGATATGTAAGATCCTGTTTCTGATCACTCACACGACCGCCCTATTGTTAGCCTGGCCGAATTCGTGATAAGTACGATTGAAAGGTCATCTTAATGTCCTCAGGGCGGAAAAGAAAGGTCAAAAATAAACAAATAAACTGTGACATTTTTAAGTTTTTTCATAGCTTTTATATAAAAGTTACATAATATTTAATAAGAATAATTTTTACAAATAGTTGAACTCACTTTATCTTCGTTACTTATTTTTAATATTTAATATTTCATTTGCATCTGTCGGGAAATCTTTAATTTGCAGAGGGCGCTATATTTGCAAATGGTTCTTTACGTTTTTCGTGAAATTTGAAACATCGGAGCTGATTTGAAGATTTCGAGATGAATTCGTTATTTATATTTAGCAGATCGTGCAATCGAGGTAATCACACGTTTTTACAAATTTAAATATGCATTAATAATTGTATTTGGGTTTGGTTATGGAAATTCAGTATTGAAATGAATTAATGTAAATTTTGTATTGTATGATAATGCATAAATAAAATATCTTAAATACAGTTGAGTCAACTTAACAGAGCATTTCATATTTCTCATTTCCTTCCTTATGTTTTGCATATACTGGAATACCTATTAACAAAGCACACAATAGTAGAGCATATGTTCTGTCAATGACCATTTTTAAAGCATAAGGAAGATTTTTAAAGGTATGACTTTACTATTAAGGTACATCATCTCCCAGGGCACACAGCAACAAGGGTCACTACACTAAGGTATTTATTGAGGTTTGATAAAACCTTCCATTAGTCAATTTTTGAACAAATAGTCAAAAGGATCTCTTACAGAATCACAATGAGAAGTAATTGTGTATTAAGTAGATACAAAATACACGACAAATGGCATGGATTACATGTATGTCCTTCAAGGAGGCAAGGCAAAAAATGATTAGTGACACATTTTTTTGCAAATTATATTGCAAGAAAATGTAAATTTTGGTACGGTATTAACAATTGTATCAGAACAAAAATAATGTGTTGATTAGAACATTAGTGAGGATGTAGAAGTCCACAATTGCACTGCTTACCGTTGGTATCATTTTATGAAATGGGAAGAAAATTGTATTTGATGTTTGCAGTCATACACTAATGTAGAAGCACATCATAAGCACCATACAATATTCCTGCTAATCTGACATGCAGTAAGTTTTAAAACTAAAGAGGTATAATTGTTTAGTTGTCTACTAAAAGAAAATAGATTTCAGTGTGATTGGAGGATTGACCATCTTTGGTTTTTAAAATTTTGTTATAAAAATTTACAATAAAATCTTTTTGGTTAAATTACTGGCATGAATTAAAAGATTAATGATTAAAACTTTTAAATGTTTTTTAATTTGTTTGATCAAAAACATTATTAAAGCATATAATCCTAAAAAAAATAATAATAATTCAAATACTGGAAACATAGTAGAACGGACATTTGAAATTTGCCGACTAGAATGGTCGGTTAACCGATGTGACGGTTAATCGGGGTCGGATAATCGATGCTCTAGTGTATTNATATCTTAAAAATAATTATATCACAGGATCTTGGAAAACAGGTCAGTTTTTTCTCAAAATCCCAGGACAAGCAAAGTAGAAATGAGAAACTCTAATGACTATGTATTTTCATTGCAGTATGTTTCATTTGCTTTTACTAAATATGGGGAAACAAAAGGGGTGCATTATGAAATAGTTACTGTCTAATATAATATATTAATATCTTGCAAACATCAAATTACTTCATAGTTCTTAGAATCTTAATGATTTAAAAGCATTATTATTCTGTTTTTCAAAATTTAAAAATACGTATTATTACTTTGCTTTGATAGTGGCGTAATTAAAAAAAAATGATTTTGTAACTTGATGAAAAATTGTTTAAATATCTAAATATAAAATATTTTGATGAAAGATTCAGTACTTTTCAGTTGGTTTATTTATTATTTTACTTTTTAATTATTTCTCTAGTAAATGCTCTTTATTCAATAAAAAGAATAGGGGCACTTGATATCCATATGAAAGCCTCAGCAGTTCCAGTTCTCTTTTCAAAGATTGCATTGCCAGCACCAGAAAAAATTGATGTAAAAAGAATTAGTCAAACAGCAGTCAAATGTTCTGAGGATCACAAAGGTAAAAAGTAAATAATTTTTTTGTAAATATATTGTTTAAATTGATATATAGTTTATTATAAAATAAAAGTGAATATAGTCCAGTGAGACGTTCTTGCGGGCAAAACCAACAGTCACATAGCATGAAAAAAATCACTTGATTTGCTAAACTAGAAAAGGCATGGGCGTGCTTAAGGGTTTGATCAGACTGTCTATTCATATTTGATGGCACAAGTTAGTTCACTTCAATATCTGTTACTATAATAAAAATATGAGTAGTTTTAGAAATATTTTAAAATATGATAAAAAAAGAAATTTTTACTTAAATAACACTAAGTGAAATAAAATATTTACGAAATTAACTTACCTATTCTTTTACAGATAATTTCACGAAAGAACCAACTTTTATCGCTCTAGAAGAGCGTTAAAATCACACAACTTGTCTTCAACTGAGCGTCGCACAAAATGACGCCGTTTCCTAACGGTACTATAATTATAGTATTTTGGAGAGCAACGTACTGTAAACATGACGCAATGAATAATAGTGTGCAACTAAATATGGACAGAACACTAATGTTTAGGTCAACAGACTACGCCAAGTATGTTCTTTTTGAAGTTCTAATCGTATTTCAACCAAAACTACTACTTTGAAAGAACCTCGTGTTTGTTATATAGTATTGCGTCATAACTTTATAGTGTAGCTGCAGTGGCAGGTTACGCAAAGATATTTAAGTGTATTTGAGAATTTTACAGTTAAAATGTTGAAATTAGGTAGACTAAAGTTTCTCCTCTTCATAAGCGTACAACGAATTTTACAGATGACGCATCCTCACGATGTTTTTCAGCTGATTTCTTTTAAACTTTTTTTAAACGAATTTTAAATTCATTCTAAAACTTCATAAATGCGTTACCTNGGGTGTAATTCGTACGTTACTTTTGACAAGAGTGATGTCACAGTAGTCACGTGATTGCAAGGTACGAAAGTTTCTGGATAGTCACGTGATGCTGAGAGCGGACAGAGTTAAATTAATAAATTCTGGACTTAAAAAGAAAAAAAAAAATGTTTAAAATAAAAATATATTTTTTAAGGGAAAATAAAATACTTGACACGAAAACACGCGATTTTTTTCCCTTCAGAATTTTCCCTAAATTATTCAAAAATAAAAATAAGAACTGTTAAAGTTATTTATAGCATCGTAAACTTTACGAAACAAAATCGATAGAAACGATACTCTAGGGAAAATTCCCTATTTGACACGAAAACACGCGATTTTTTTCCCTTCAGAATTTTTTGTATATTCAAAAATAAAAATAAGTTAAAACATTTACACTTACTTTTTTTAATAACAAATCATTGTAAAGTATTGCATATATAAATGTGCATTATAGCTTGAAAAGTTTGTGATTCAAGGCTGCTGTTTACAACTTTTTATTCCATAAGTTCCATATTGCTCTTTATTTTTTAAAAAAATATTTTTTGGGTTGTAATAAACTTAATGTTTAAATGGGAAAAGCATTACCAGATAAGTTACTCTCCAAAAATGTTTTTTAATGTATCGTTCTCTTTAGGATGTTAAAAGTATCGAAGGAAATGCAATAATTTATATTAAAATTGTTATCTTTAAACTTTAATTTTATTGAAAAAATAAATATAAATCAGTGTTGGGGCTGATATAGGACTAACATTTATCTTCTTCCCTTCTATTAAAAAGTTAGAAAATATCATTATTATTGTTTTTAAATGATAATACAGGAGCAATTTTTTCAAAATAAAACATATGTACTGTACAGTAGAGCGTCGATTATCCGAATCAATTGGGGACGGGGTGAAATCGATGTTTCGGATAACCGATTGTGTACGAAAAAATATTACCCTATAGCTATTTTGAAATTTTTCTCCGTTGCGTGTCGCTTTGCGTTGAATTTTTGTCGATGTTAAGCCTAACCAGAGTCGGTAGATTAACTGGTCTTTCGACTTCCTATCTTCGCTCCTTGCTAAAATCAACTAGAGACAAATGTTACCACCAGGGGCACTGCAAGAGTGCTAGATCGAATCGCTGTGAGGTCGAATGTTTATTGAAAGATATATAACCTTCGAGTTCGATTTCATAATTTTTTATATGCATTTTATTGTAAGAATGAAAAAGCTTTTATTTAAACCCAAAACCAGGTTTATGGATAAATAAATGACACTTAATAAAACATTAAACCCCTTCCATCGCTGAGAAATGTTTGTTTAATTAAATACGTTCGAACTCATTTACACCCGATGATGGTTTATTCCATGAGGCTGAAAATGTTAGTGTTTTATTAAGTAACTAGCTTACCCGTCGCGCATTGCTGCGATCTCAGAAGAAAGGAAATTCAAGCAAACTCGTTATGATAAAATTCAATTTACATTTTATCATTTTCATTGAAACTTAACATTATTATTATTCATTTTCATCGGGAAAACATTTCAAAGTGTCGTTTCAATTTTATTTATTTATTGAAGTGCTTTGTGGATACACGATATTTTTTGTTTTTCCGTCTGGTGCGTACACGAATAAATCAAAAGGTTTTCCGATGCGTGAGTTGGCCACATACAGTTGTCCAAGCGAGAAGCACGGATTCTTTAAATTTAGCCCACATGCAGAGATTGTTAAAAGTGCGATATTCCCCATTTTTATATATATATTTTTTAATATTTCATAATTTTAATTATTTAATTGCTCCTTCTTCTCTTCCTTGGCACGTTGTGAAATTTCTAATAGTTAGATAATAAACCGTTTTATTGTAATTTGTCTTTTTAAATTATTTTGAGTTGATATTAAAATTTGGAAAAGGGGGATCTCTAGATCGGTAAAATAGGCGAATTTCCTTCTACAACTTCGGTTGTTGTTCATGATACAGTTAAGGCTTTAACAAAGTTCGAGCGATTACGTAATTAGCAAAAAAAAAGTCGAAATAAAGTGATTAAACAAAAATTATAACAAATATCGTAAATAATAAATGCATATACAGTATACAGATATTTTTTGGAGAAGAGAAATGGTCTTCACAATTTGAAATCGATCGAACACACTGCTCGAATGCTCGTGTAAACGCGCGCCATCTATCGTAGGGTAAATGCCAGAAACCTTCGCGGGAGTGTATTAAAAAAAAACTTCCCAAAGCTTCATGGCAATCGTACTACGCCACAAACCTTCGCTGGAGTATATTAAACAACTTCCCAAAGTTTCACGGCAATCGGATAAACGGTGTGGTAATGCATGAAGGACACACAG